TTAGCTCTAGTAAAACAGTCTCAACCCAAAGCAGATCTTGTTAAGAAGAACCAAACATTCTATCTATAATTCAAAATAGTTCCTTTTTCCTTCCCTCTGCTGGAAGTACAAGTGGTTTTTCTTTGATATTCACTGTGAGAAGCTGATAAAGCTTGTAAAACTCTCAGAAAGTGCTGAGAGCTCTCCTGTGACTGGGCACCCTGGACTCCGGAGTTTATAACTCTCTGACTTCTCAATATTGAGCCTCCAGCAATTCATCAATTATAGTTTAGACATTTCTACCTTGATACTGATTTCCACAGAGGTTTCTGCTCATGAATTTCTACTCTGGTAAGTTGTGATTTCCCTGTATCTGTCTGTTTCTCCAATTTGGGGGCAACAGTTATGCATACATGCATAAGTACCATATGATGTCTTGATTTATATTTCAGTCTTTCTTTTTCTTTGTTCTTTGCCTGGATCCCTCTTGCTTCCTCTACATGCATTGGTGTCCCTCTACCAACAACCCAGGTAACGTTAACAATTCAATATGCATCCTTCCATGATTTTTTTTCTTTCACAGACCTATATATCTGTTTTTACATACATATGTTCAAAGTTATTTGACATGGTTTAATAGGAAGATCATATTATGTATGTTTTTCAGCATGTTACCTTCTTCCCCAACCAAATATATTGAAAGTTAGTGTAATTCAGCTGACATTAACTTATTCACTTAATGTCTGCATAATAGACAATAGGGAGGATATAGCTTTAGTTGATTAAGCTGAAACCCTACTGTATTCTCAAAATAAGTTCTCTAGACATTTCCATTAACATTGTCAAAAAGTGTTGGTGTTATTATCCAGGATTTAAGAAAATTATCTGCTCAACATGCATCATTCCTGGAATCAGGAAACTTGGGTTTAGTCTTCACATTCACATGTTACACTTTCACAATTGTCAGTAAGCAAATTCTATAATTTCAAAACCTTATATATCTCTATAGGGAAAAGAAGGTAAGAAAAAAATGTGTAAAAATCCAAAATTAGCTGATTCACAAATTGGCCAGATACTGAAAAATAGTTTCCTTATGCAAAAGAAAAAAATACCTTAATAAGGTAGAAAACAGCACTTTACTTATACTGCTACCACCCAYCATCTAAGTAAGAGATCGTGGCAGGAAGAATTTTAAGAGGGCTCCAATATTATACGTATAGTTTATATACAGGGTATAGTTTATATACCCTGTAGAATTCCTTCCCCTTAAGTGGAGTGAAACTGTGAATATGATGAATTTCACTGCTGTGATTGTGTTATATGATGCAGGTGAAGGCTCCACACCAGCTGATTTTGAGTTAATCAAAAGAGAAGGTATCCTAAGTAAGCCTCACTTAATAGGGTATCAGTCTAAAAAGGAGTCAGAGATTGGAAGAGATAAAAATAATTTATTCTGCCAATTTTAGAGGAGAAAACAACCCATATTGTGAAAGGGCACAGTGTTTGGTCCTAAGGATGGTCTCAGAACTGGGAGCAACCCTGGCCAGGAGCCAGCAAGGAAATGAGGACCTCAGTTCTACAGCTGCAAGGAACCACAACCAATGAGGAGCTTGAGAAGCACCCCAAGTCACAGATGAGATCACAGCCTGAACTGACACTGTGGTTTCCTCCTTATGAGAAAGAACCCGCGTGCCATGCCTGAATACTTAACCTACAGATGATAAATGAGCATGTTTTAAAACACCAAGTTTGTGGTAATTGATGATGCAACAACAGAAGACAAACACATTGATCTTGAACAAGAAATAAAGTCCAGTCTTTCCACTATAAAATGAGATAGTAAGCCCAAATTACTGGTTTTCTAGTTATAAAACACTTTATTTTTATGATTCTATCATAGATAAAAATCAAAGTTCTGTTTCTGTGATACTATCAGTTAACGAATTGATAGCACTTATTTAAGCATGTAGTACTAGGGAAGGACAGCCTTCCGTTGGAACACTGTTTATTCACAACCTGCAATTTGAGGGTGTTATTAGAATGAACTGACAGATTATTTTAGGTCTGGCACATATCGTTTGTATTATGTGTTAAATTTTAAATTCCAGGCAGATATACAAAGAAAGGTTTGTGTTATGGGGTTGAATGGAACGGTTAGCTATTGAGCAAGGGTGTGAGGGAAGACAGACTTTGAAAGTATAAATTATTGCAATAATCTATTTCTTCACATTAACCATGAGCAGCAAGGTTTTAAGGTAAATTCTTGGAAGCTGACCTCTAATCTAATCAATGTGAAGTTGAGTTTGAATTTGTGGAAGTTGCATATACACCCTGTGTGAGGACTCCAAACAATAGAACTTGTTGCATAGGACCAGCATCTTTGGGGTGCTTTCGCTGTATTTCACCCATTGGAGGATGTGGTTTGTAAAATGATGAAATTTTTGGCATGGCTTCTGCTCATCCCTTCAAAAGTAGATTAAGAATTTTAAGAGAACCCTATTAAAATAACAACTTGAAATGGTCTTGGACCAGAATTCCACCTCAGACAAATTACCTGTATTCATTTCCTATGGCTGACATTAAAAAAATCCCAGAAATGGAATGACTTGAACAACAGAAATTCACTATCTCACAGTTCAGGAGGTTAGAAGTAGGAAATGAAGGTGAAGGCCATGCTACCCTCAGAGGCCATGGGGAGAACCTTCTTTGACTCTTCCAGCTTCTGGTGGCTGGAGCTTTTCTTAATGTTCCACTTCATTCCAGTCTCTATCTTGTCTTCACATCACCTTCTCCAAGGTATGTATTTCTCARATTTCCTTCTATCTTTCTTCTATAATTGTATTTGCCATTAGATTTAGGGTCTTCCTGTATGACCCAAGATGATCCCATCTCAAGATCCGTAACTTAATTACATATGCATATTTTTTTCCAAATAAAGTCCCATTCAAGGATTGCAGAGATTTGTACTTATCTTTTCAGGGCCTCCATTCAACTTGTCTCCGTTTATTATTGTCTGTCATGAGTTGAATCATTTTCCCCTTCTCCCCTGTGTTTTCGTATTTTGAAGTCCTAACCACTACTAGCACAGAATGTGATCTTATTTATTGCAAAAATAACTAGTTAAATTAAGATAAGGTCATTTGACTGAGTCAATACAACTGGTATTCTTGWGAAAAGAAGAAATTCGGACACAGACATAAAAACAGGAAAAAAGCCATGTGAAGAGAAGGCACAGACCAGGGTTCTGCTTAACAGACATAGGTAAGAAGCATGAAACACATTCTCTCTCACAGTCCTCATAAGGAACCAACTCTGAACACCTTGATCTTAGACTTTCAGCCCTCCAAACCTGTGAGATAATGAATTTCTTTTGTGTAAGCCACACATTTTGTGTGGCTTACACTGAGACATATACATTTATAAATGTCATTTTAAATGGTGATACTCAACTTATAATAATGTTGCATTTTACCTATGAATAATTCACGGACAGTAGGCTTTTACTTTCTACATTATATATAACAATAACAAATATCTAACTCTGTCCMTATGTCATTTCTCATTTTGTACATTTCCTTTGGATACATTCTAAGAAAGGGGAATCTTTTATCAAAAGGTCTAGAACAACAAAAAGAAAATGTGTTGCTAAATTGCTTTCCAAAGAGTTCCAACAATYACCTTACATGTGCTGTGTGATGAGTGATTTCTATGTTTTCTCACCAGCATTTGACAGTATCATTTCAAGGACTGTCACATGTTTTGAGGACACCTTCAGATTTACTCTTAGGGGACAAAGAAGCAATGATGAGTAGATTTATTTGGTCCCAACTTTTTCTCTCTCTTGCTTTCAGGCAGTCACCAGAGGGAAAGAGTCACAGTGTCTTTAGGTTACATCATTTAACAGTAGCAGAGAATTCAAGATCCTTGTGATTTTTTTTTTAATGCATGAAGTTGCTCGYTTCAATAATGCTAACCTTCATGAATCAAAATTTACTTAATTGAAAGCCAAGTGTTGTAATGAGAATCAGAACAACTTATAGGGCAATATTTCTTTGGTTTCTCTTAACACAGCATATTTATTTAGAGATTTACCTTACATATTGTCTAGGGAATTAATATGGGCGTTGGCCATTTTTCTGCACTTCCTGGTTGAGGGCAAGGGCTCCACTCCGGTGCTAGTCCTTCCCTCTACAAGTCTTTCTCGACAGCTCCAGCTTTTCTGATTAGAATTTCACAATGACCAAATTTTTTTTWAAAGCTATCAGGCTAATAGTAATTTTTAAAAAAGCATTTTAAATCCGGAGAAGTGCTGCTGGGCGCAGCTGGCCGGCTGCTGTTCCTGCAGCTCCCATTGTGATCCTTCCTAGTCTCCTACCCACATACCTATCCCACCCGCACCACAAGCAAGCAGAGCCTGATATCTGCTCTTCAAACCCAGAGTATGAGTAAACCGTGCCTCCCGTCCTCCCCATCACCTCCCTACACTCCCGCCCCTGGATTTTTAAAAAGCTTGTCGGTCATTGCAGGGCGCCTCCGCAGTGTCTGGAGTAGGTACAAGAGCATCCTTCCACGGGGTGTGCAAAGAAGACAGGCTGGGTAGACTGGAATCTGWGGCTGCCTTCTCTGCTAAGGGGGTGGGGAATGGTTTGTCCTCCAAGCTTTCAGACCAGAACCACCCTCTCTTCTCTGCCTCCMTCCCCCCTACCCCARTCTTTCTCTTTCAACGCAAGAGAACTCCCCTTTTCCAGACCAGGAAGGGGCGCCTTTCCAGCTAACTTTCCCCTCACCCACCGAATAAAAAAAAAAAAATGAGTGGTGGGGGGAAACCCACACAAAAACCCTGGAGTAATAGCGAGTGGATCGGCTTGTGCTCAATGAATGGAAGCTGCGGGGCGGGCCTGCGTGCACAGCTGCCCTGCCCACGATGCTGTCTCCCGGAGGCCTGTAGGGCCCTCGCGGCCCCTAGCCCTCCTCCCGCCCCGGGCAGAGGTTGCCGACGGCTCTGCGCCCAACGACGACAGGGAAGGTCGAGGGAGGGTGGTTTCCTCCCGCCCCACACCCAGTCTCCGAGCCGGATATATACAGTGTCACGTTTGGGAGCCGAAAGACCAGAGCAGTTTCCTTGTGGCTGGAGTACTTCCCGTGGCCTCGGGGAAGGACCGGGATTTAGCGGACCACTAGTTGAAACCCACCCCCGTGCTGGAGGAGCAGGTATTCCAGGGTCCCTGCCCTTCCGCTCGCTGAGCCCACGCGCTCCGAAGGCAAAGACCAGGCTGGGGGTGGCCCTCCCCCGGGAGGGAGGGATCGGCTGGGTGAGCAGGGAGGGGCGGATCCCTGCGGGACCTCGAGGAGGGTGGGCATGAAGCCGGGTGGGAGGAGAGAGGCATTTGCAGTGGTTCTGACCCCTAAGGCGGCCCCCAGCCGCACCCCAGTCGCCACTCGCCCGTAGGCACCTTTGGCTTTGGCAGAGCGCGCCAAGGTAGGGTGCGCAAGGGGTGAAACCGCGGTGAGCCTGGGAGGGCTAGAAAAGGTTAATGTGGAGGACCTCGCTATGGTGGTTAGGGACCAGGGAGAGAGGCGTTGGAATGCGTCCCAAATAGGCCTCCTTGRCCCCAGGCGCTATTCCTAGAGAGAGCGCGCAAATTCTGGGGCCACGTGTCGAGCGGCGCCTGCAGCGGGTCCCCTCCAACCCCGGGACAGCCTGGGCGTGCTGTCTCGGCCCGAAGCGCGTCCTCGTTCGCCCCTGGCCCCACCCCTCGCTGTGCACGTTCGGACCCTCCCACTCAGGACCAGCCAGGGTAGCTCAGCCGAGGCTGAAAAGCACCGGGGCAGTAAAGTGAGGTCTGTGGCTGTTGGAAGTTTTTGACCTCTTCCTGTGTTTGGGGCAGCGCGGGGAGAGCAACGGAGCAGGTTCCTGAAGACTCCAACTGAAGTAGATGGCTTTCTGGAAAGCTCCTCGCTCGCAGCGAGTAAAAGTACCCGCGGGGCAATTGGGGTCAATTAGATACAATTCCTGTCCAGCCTTATTCTAGAAATTATAGGAATGTGCCTTTCCAGTATCTTTACTTTGTCACTTCTCCTGGCAAGTAGGATTATGAACATTTTTTTCCTGCCATGTATGAGTTACCTAGTGTGAGCATCCAAGGTTATGGCTGAATCTGCAAGACTTTGGCAACTAGTTCTGTCATGTGCATGAAGGAGGACATAATGGGAATAGCAAAATGACTGAAAACCCAAGTGGATGGTGTTTTTCTGCTRGTTAGATGCTGTGTCCAGAGAAGTTTGACACTGTGCAAATGGAAATTTGAGAATTACCCTGTGGTTTCAATTATCCTTCTCTATATTTCCATATAAAGTGAGTTGGAGATTTGACTCAGGTGCATATTTAGTACAAAAACCATAAAGTAGGACAAAGGAACTAAATAAAAACGTAAGGCAGGCTGTCAAAGTATAAGAGTGACATCTTAACAAACTTCTAGGGATATTTGTATTTGAGGTTTCTAGAGATGGCCAAGAAATTTTAACTGGCAAAGAGTCAAGTGTCCTGACAGTTTTTTTTTTTTTTTAACTTGTAGTGTTTCTAATAATTCAGGTCTTTCCCATTGCTTTTTAAAAATTTACATTTATTTATTTATTTATTTATTTTCATGTGGTGCTTAGGATGGAATCCAGTACCTTGCATATGCTAGGCAAAGGCTCTACAACTGAGCCACAACTCCAGCCCCAGTCTTTCCCCATTTTTTGAGGACATCTTCTGCACTTGTTTTGTCAACAGATTCCTACCTTACTCTGATTTCTAATATTTGGTTCTAATAAATCACCATGATTTGGTAAATCTTATCATCAGTGGAAAAAATTAATGTGATAATCTACTTTCCCTTAAAGGTAGCTAAACATAACCCAGCCTCAGAAGAAGATGAAGAAACTTTCTTTAAGGGCTGAAAAATAAATAGTTCATCTGTGGGTATCACTGAGTTATATCAAGAATATGGTCATCTGAACCATCCCATCTCTCCATTGCCTTTCTGAAGATGCCTTCTTGAGTGTAACTTCTAGCCTTAAAATTGCTTGTTTTTGTATTAACTATTCAAGTGTTCACAAAAATTCACTTACTCACAAATACRTTCTCATGGAGGATCATACCTAGAACCACCACACGCTTGTACCTGCCAATACATTCTGACATTGTAGTCTCTGTAGGATCATACATCATTCTTGAAGAAATGGTCTTAATGCCTACTTTCATTAACAGACCTCTTTTGAGTATGGGTTAAAATGGAATATGAAAAACAAACATGTGCACATTAACACAGAATTCTGCTTACACTTTGAGGAGTTCACAACCTTGTAACGTTCAAACACCCACATTCTAGACATCCAGGGACTCCAGGCAAGACCAGCGTTGTGGMAGGACATATTTAATCAATAAAGGGCACCTGTTCCTTATCAAATTGTCTAGTTTCGTGGAACCCTACACTTAAGAGGGYAATCTGTTTAATATTTTGCTGCCACTGTCTGCTACCTTATTTTTCAAACAAGGGGCTCTAAATTTTCACTTTGCACTGGGTCCTGCATATTATGCCATGAACCCAGGCTGACAATCTCATTCCAGAACTTACCAAATAACAACATCGTCTTACAGCAGTTCCATTTTTAAGGTGACTTCACCACCACAACCTGGAATTTAACCTCTGCTTGCTTAGATACGCTCAGGCATGTCATTAAGCTTGTCTTTATCTCAGTTTCCCCACTGACAAAATAAAGACAACAGATGATACTCTATTCTGTTTATCTTAGAGGTGGTTGTGTTATCTTACGTAAAAAGATAATAATTATAAAAATGTTTACTGATGTCAAATAATTTCATGCTAACAAAGATGGCATTATTACAGGCTTACCCTTTCTACTCCTTTTTTCAGAAGCAGCTTTAGGAAGATAGGTTAAGTACCTTATAAAGGTTTTGGAGTACAGTGTACCARAAATCATTCTTAATTTATATTACAAGATACACAAGCTCATGTTCTGAGACTATCACTAATTCTTTTCATAACCTTTAATAAGTCACAAATTTTCTGTGTCAGAGCTATCAATTATAAGATGGTAATAATATTAGCTATTCAGTATTCCACACAGGATTGTTTTAAAGACTAATATAAATTACACACACACACACACACACACACACACACACACACATGCATTTCAAAGCATTTATAACCCTATATTTTGGTAAAAATAGAATAAAACAAAATATCTAAGTAGTATTCAGTATTTTAAATATTCCTAATATTATTATTTGTACAAGATTGGAACAGGCAACTGAAGGTAAACAATAACTTCTTGGATCCCAAAGACAATTCCTGAATTAAATTAATGTTTGCATCGAAATCATCCACAAATTAAACAATGAGAAAGTGAGTCAATAATTGAAGTTTTCTTTAGGAGGTAGTTCTCCGTGCTTCATTTAATTCTAAAAGTCCAACACATTCAAAATCTTGATCAAGACACCATCGTAAATATTCTAGGACATATATAATCAATAAAGGGCWCCTGTTCCTTACCAAATTGTTCTTATCTCTGTATCTCTGGTGCCTGCTAAGGAGGAACCAAGAAAACTCAGGTCAGTCCACTGTGTTCTCTCTTCTCCCTTGAGTCCTTCTCTGTGATGTCAGAAATTTTCTGTATGCCACCTTTCCTTTCCAACATGATGGCAGTGCAGTCAGAACTCTTGAAGAAAACACAGTAGAAGAAAATGGATCAAACTCCCATCACAAGATCTAATAATAGAGACAACTAAGAGTGGTGGATGAGACTTCTTTCATGCACCCACTCTAGGCAGGGGCATGCATTGTACATTAGGACAGTTCTTACCAGGTCCTGCATACAATAAACCTATGACGTAATTAGCAAGACAATATAGGCAAATATAAGGTATTAATTAACAATAGCAAATAAAGTATTGCAGGGAAAGAGAACATTAGGCACCAAATGAGTGGTGCAGAAAATAAGAGCAATGAATTTCCCAGAAGAGAATGAAATATAAACTGAAATGCTGAGAAAGGCCTAAATGGAAAGGTATAAGAGATGACTGTTAAAGTTCTGGTCCTCACAGAGATGAACAAATGAAACTTTTGKATGATAAGTTTGTAAAAAAGAGGAAGTCAGATGGAGCCAGARTTGCAGGTAAGGAGAAGTCAGGACCTAGAACTAATTGAAATCCCTCCCAGCTGCCTTCATGCATGTCATACATTTTTATTAAAGCCATTCTGTGACCAGACACCATGGCAGTTTCCCACATTTAGTGTGGAAAACAAAGCAGATGTTAAGTTCCCCTTTGGAATTTACAGACATTTACAAAATAAATGTATAGTAACAAATTGTGGGAAGTAGTATGGAGAAGAATAGAGTGCTAGGACAGAAAACTGGTRTTGATTAGCACTCTGGGAAGGATTCTTTGACAAAGAAATATTAGAAAGGAGCATAGGAGTTGACTCAAGAGACACAGAGAAAGAAAGAGAAGCATCTGGGCAGAGGAAACTGCAGATGGGGAGGCCCAAGGGAGAAAAAAAAGGCCAAAGTGTTCAGGGTACAAAGACAGCACATGTGGCTGGAGTGTGTGAGCTGGTATCTGAGCTGCTGCATGAGAGTGTGGGGAGGTGGGGAGGATGTGGATCCCACTCAACTCCACAGGTCTTCATCAAGATTTTGAATTTCATCTTAGTGTTAAGCCTTGAAGACTTTTAAGCCAGAGACTGTCCTAAATGATATTTTAAGGAAGTCTATTTGGAGACAGTAAGGAGAATGGACTGGAGGGCAAAAGGCTCAGAAGTAGGATGAACAATTAGGAACAGGTTACAGGCAAGCCTGCTGAAAAGGAAAGGCCCTACAAGTGCAGAGACTTGAGATGTAACTTCAAAGTAGGATTGATGCAGTGAGTGACAGGTTGAATATAGGGGCTGGGCAAGTCTGGAAGAAATATGAGTTCCTTCAGTATATACTACTTAACTTTTGAATCCGAAACAATAGGCTCACGTGCATGTAATTTAGACTTGCCATAAGAAGAACTGAAAAATGAAGCAGAAAGTGATCCCTCTAGAAAGTGTACTGGCTATTGGGCTAAGAGTGAGAAAACATTTGCTTTTCATGTTGTCCTCTGTAAGGTTTGAGTCATTTTAAAACCATGATTGCATTATTTAATTTTTWAAAAATAT